AGAAAGTTATAAAATAGTGGACAAACAACGAGATAGTGAGTGTGTGTTTGTGTTGCCACCCTGGGGAGACAGGAGCAACCTTGGAATTCTTGCTTTGAGTAACAAGGAATCCAGAAAAAAACATCCCACACACTCAGCAGAGGATCTGAGGCTGCTACCACCGAAGGTCACTGCTGTAATGTCTAAGGCACCGCTTGTCAGATCCTATTGCAAGGAAGAATACTTGTAATGAGCCTAAGGGTTACTAAATAAAGTTCACTTGTTACCAACTTGGACAAGGGGCTGTGTCAATCCTTGGGGGTCTCTGGTAAAAAGGAATAGTTGGGGTAACAGTTACTATCTTGTGACTGTTTGGTCAGCTGCTTGAAATACATTTGATGGTGTAGCTTTGTCCTTGAACAGGATGTCAACATTACAGAAAGCACTACTGTTGTTATTTTTCTGCACCCCCACTCCCCTTCCCATTTTGAGTCCCAGCAGAAAGGCAGGTGCCTGAATTCCACTCTCCTCGACTGCACTATTATTGATAGAGAGGTAACATTTAAAGCTCTCCAAATACCTTTGAAGCACTCTAGACAGCAAACATATAGATAAGTATGGCCAAAGAATCACTTAAAAGGGCTAAAGCACCTAAAAATGATCCTCCAAAAATGAAAACCATCTTTGAAGTGCTCCCTACACTAGTAATTTTCAAACTGTTGTATGCACAGAGAGGTGGTGGAAGCTCTATCCTTGGGGGTTTTCAAAACAGACAAAGCTTTGGCTGGGATGGTGTAGTTCAGGCTGGTCCTGCTTTGAGCAGGGGTTGGACTAGATGACTTCCTGAGGTCCCTTCTAACCCTCACTTTCTATGATTTTATATCCCCAGGGAGTACGCAGCACTTTGCCAAGGAGTAGATGGTTACATTTGAATAATGGCAGTGAAGCTTCTAATTGGTCAAAGTGCAGTGAGTAATGGCATTGCCACATGCTGACCTCAGTGTGGACACTCTACCCAAGGAATGAACATGCAAAGATGTATAAGGTGCATGGGGTATAAGGGGTATAAGCAGGAATATTTTTCAGGTAAGGGGTATGGTAGCATAAAAAGTTAGAAAGCTACTGGTCTACAAAATGGTCAGTTCTCTGGTATATGGATAGCAGGAGGAGAGCTGGCCAGGCAGCCAGTGAGCACTTTCCTGTATGCTTGGCAATATCTTGCACCTGAGAAGCATGCAAAGGATGTCTCTCCAGCCCCTTGGCTGGGGAGGAGAAATACCTATGTGACTCAGTCTCCAGAAGTTCCTGTCTCCTAGTTTTGGAAGGCCAGACACACACAGGGATTCTTGCTCTCCACCCATGGGCCTGGATAGTAGGATTTCTCACACATCTCTCAAGCTCCAGAGGCTCTGAAGGACATAGGAGAGTGCTCATTGGCTGTCTGCCCCATTGTCCCACCTCCCACATGGGCAGGGAGACAGAAGCCACAGAACCAAGCAATTCCTGTTCATACCCCCTGGCTAGGGAGGACTGCTGCCATATGCTGTCATGGCGAATTTGAAGTGCTCCAGTATGTGTGGGAGCTGCACAGCCACAGAAGTACTTCGAGCACTCCAAATTTGAAGCACTTAAACTATACACCTGTCTATGGCCATTATGAACTTGCTTTGTGAATAAAAAAAATAAAATTAATTTTTCAAGGCCTTCAAAGCCAGCATTGTCACAAGTACTAAACAATTCACATGGAAAATATAGAGAGAAGGAAAAAGAATTAAATGTTTCTTACACTGTCTTTAAATTAAGGCAAAAAGAAAAAAAATTACCATCGTTAAGGTTGCCTCCGTAAGATATTCTGTACTCTGAATTATGAGGACAAAGAGACTAGTGAATATACATGTCTAAATTTACTTTGCATGAAAGCCCAAATTAATAGTATTTTCAAGAAGTTAAAAAAAAACTAAGCACAACATTCTTCTGAATTAAAATTTTAAATTGCTTCAGGCAGGCAAGATGTACAATGTTGCTTCGGGACAGTGTGTCCTAGAAATCCAAAGCGACAATGTCTAATTAAAAGAAAAAATGGTTTCAGCAGCTTTGCTCTACTACAATACATGCATGTTAAAGTGTACTGCTTTCTGTTTTGCATAATTTCCCATCTCAGGGTTAAAACACATGTTCTAGATTTTCTATTCTTTCTCTGGTTAGAGAAAATATTCTGATGTATACATAACTCCCTACATGGCTTTGTGGTAGTGTTGAAGGGATGCTGTACCCATGATGGTTTAGGACTGGGCTGGCCAATCTGTGGTACATATGGCACAAGTGGAATGGGCAGCCTGTATGTGTGGCACACAACTGATTGGAGAGGGAGCAAGGAATACAATGACACAGGGCACATCCCCATGAGTGGCAATGTATGTTTCCCTAGGGACAAGTAGCAGCGGCACACTTTGTGCCACCACTACTTGTCCCTGCAGAACCCCCGTGCCATGCACTCTTTGGTGCATGGCACGTTAGCCTGGGTGGGGTAGGGAAGGCTGGGACCAGCAACTGTTCTGGCCCCAGCAGCCTTACCTGGCATCCTGGGGGCATCAGAGAGCTGCAGCCATGGCACTCCTGCAGCTGGGAGCCTAGCTGGCAGCTGAAGCGTGGCTCCGGCTGGCCAGACTCCAGTTTTGGGTGGTGTGTGCTGCAGCCACGTGCACCACCCTGCTTTTTTTAGCCATGTTTTTTTTGGACCCTGGGATCTTCTGGGGTCAACCCCCACACTACTCTGCTGCAAAGTATCAGTGCAGGGAACATCTGCATGTGCAACGTGGTGCCACAGATGGGTCTGCGGCACTGCATACTGCACATCCATGCTCATCCGGACACACCGATATGGGGCAGAAAGGAGAGCATCAGATCAGGCAGAGAGAAGGATGCAGAAAATACAGGGCAAGAAGCAAAAAATAAAGCAGCAGATCAGGAAGGGAACGCAGAGCAGGAAGCAGAGCAGCAGACTGAACAAGGCATTCAGGGAGGGCAGAAGGCTAATTTGTGGCATATCTGTCAAAAAGTTTAGATACCACTGATCTAGAGAATATGTGAAAGAAGGCCCTTTTGGGTGTTATATTTTATTGGACCAACTGTATAGTTGAGAGAGATCTTAGACAAGCTTTCAGGCGTAAGGCAATCTTCCTCAGTTAAATGGCTTTAGTTGTTACAGCATGAATTTGGGATCAAAGCTTTCTGCAAAATCTATTGGATGCAGTAGGAGCCAGTAACTGAAGATTTCTAAGTCCTACTAAATGCTTTGGGGGATAAGCTTCAACATATTTTTAAAACTTTAGAGAGGACACAGCAAAAGGTACTGGTGGAATCACTGGATCCCACGGCTCCAGAAGGAAGTTCCAGAAGAACTGTCCTTCAAAACAACTTTGCTTTTAGGAAAAGGCAAAGCTCGGGGTACAGACTGGAAAGATTATTAATTTAAAAGGGTATTAATTTAAATAAATATATTTTAAAACATGTACAGAGGTAACTTGTTCATCTGCGTATACACTGAGTAAAGTATTAGCATCCTCTTATCTCCTAGCTTTTATACATAATAATTAAAGTCTGTGAAAGAGTACTCAGATCTGGATGAAGACACAGAAATAAGCTCGGAAACTAAATAAAGGCTAAAGGTGGGGTTACATAGTACTGTGGCAGGGGCACTCTGGCGCCCTGCACCTATGAAGGGATACAGGTGCCGGTTGCGGGGGCAACCGCAGGTGGTCAGCTGACCAGGCAGGGGCAGGGCCTGGAGTATATAAACAGCCCAGGCTGAAGCCTAGAAGGCAGTTCCCCTCTGGCAGCCTGAGTAGCAGGAGCTCTGCTGCAGAGCAGAGCAGGGCAGAGCAGCCTGACTGCCTGAGCGTCTACATGAAGGTGCAGGGTGGAGAGAACCCTGACAGGCAGGGATGAAGGAGAGCCAGGGTGGCACAGAATTTATGTTATAGCCAGGAGGCTTATTTTGGTGTTACAGCCGGTTGGCTTATGGCTTTGTGTTTTCTATTTCTTTGTTTGTGTAACACCGGAGGACCGGGAGAGGCTGTAGGGGTTGAAGGAGGCTTCAGGGGAGCTCCCCAGTAGCATGGGGGTTCCTGGTGCCCTGGAAGGGCACAGCAATCTGGTGCCAGAGAAGGTACAGCAGGTTGAGCGACGGAGAGTGGCGCTGCGTTTTGGGGTGTCCCGACCCCAGCCCAGTGGGGCAGTATCGGGAGGAGCCCGAGCAGGGCATAGGACCCAGGAAGGGGGTCTGAAGGCCAGGTTAGGCTGAGGCCACCTGAGCCCTGACCGTGGGAAGCGCGGGAGACGAAACCCCAGTGCGGGTAACCTGACCGCGGGAAGCGCGGGAGACGAAACCCCAGTGAGGGTAGCCCGACCGCGGGAAGCGCGGGAGATGAGGTCCCTGTGCGGGCGACGTGAGCACAGGGAATGCGAGACAGGCCCCTGTGGGGGTGAGCACACGGTGAGCGTGGAGAGACAGGCCCCAGTAGGGCACTGCCTGTACGGGAGAAGCCCCAGAAGGGGGGCGAGCTTATTGAGAAGCCCCAGAAGGGGGGCGAGCTTATTGAGAAGCCCCGGGAGCGGGTGCGTATTCGGAGAAGCCCTGGGAGCGGGCGCATACGAGATATCAGGGAGCCCGGTGAGGGCGAGCATATGAGTGAGTCACCCCAGAGGGGTCACTCGGGCAACAGCATTGACGAGATAACGTACGGAACAGCTGAGAGGCTTGGGGCATGGTATTGGGGGTGGAAGGAGCCACGCGACGCCTATAGGGTTGGGGCACCAGAACCTGTTTGGTATAGAGCAGGGACTGGAAGGGTGAGAGCACCGGGTCCAAGGGGTCAAGTAAAGGCAGCCTCCCATTAATACTGTAGAACCATCAAAGTCGTGGTGGGCGAGAACGAGGGTGCTAGATGGGCAACTTGGCACGGTAGGGGCGCCAGGAGAGTTCACGGCCACTCCTGGGTCACCGCTCCGTGACAAGGACCAAATTATCTCAAGACATTGGCCATGTGTGATGATAGTAAACCTGTAAGAGCAACTGCCCTTGTGAGGTATTGCCACCTTAAACATCATGAAAAATGAAAGAAGAATAAAGTTCTTCTCAGTCTTGGAAAAACCAGGGAAAATCCATAAGCTTGAATCCATTTATTAAAACTGAAACTGAAACATGCTGTGTCTGGTTGGACTGGAGTGTTCATTTCGGTTTGTAATGAAAAACTTCCAGTAATGCAAGATCAAAAGTTTGCTAGAAAATAGTTAAAAGGAAAGCATTTAATTATTTCTGGGCTTGCGCATCTGCTCCTATTAAAAAACCCACACAATAAACTACAGTTGTTTAGATAACTTGTTAGTTTCAAAACTGTGCTCTAATTCTGATAATTTCATATTCATATTTATACAGGAGTATGAGGTGTGGCAGATCAGTCAGTCAGACATCTGGATGTGAAACTTTAAACAATGTCCCTTGGAAGGTTGAACGGGAATCCACTTGCATAGGTCTAATACCTCTGTAATTCTAATGATGCAGCATCTCTGAAAGTGTCTTTCTGATGTATTTTCTGCAATCTTGCAAGCCTGTTTGTAATAGGTTATGCATAATCTTAATCTTGACTGTAATTATTACTTTGTAAATTTGTTATTGCTCTTCTTTGTCAGTCTTTTCCATGAAAAATTTTGACCTGCTGTAGGTTGTTTTCCAGGCAATACTATTCCATTCTCCTTTTTAAACTTTTGAAGGCATTTACTTTTAATTGTTCTGTTCCTTTGATAATTGGACTTTTCCTGTGTGCTCTTTAATTTAGCTTGTGATCTCTGTTTTTGCCCAATTCCACTCCACTTGCTCCTGCTAAATGCTTTATAACTTCCTTGTCCAGCCTCAAATTCCTGTCTCAGCATGAAGTGAAGGGGCACTCACCATGCTGCTGCACAATGTTCTCTCCTTTCCTCATGAAACAGGCTGATAAAACACTCTTAGAATCAGACTGAATCAAACATCAGTTCTCCCAGATAACAGGTTGCTTCTTTCTGCTTCACTAAGCCAAAACCATGCAGGGAAAATGAGGAAAAGATAAGAAAAAGAGGTTCCCTAGTCAAACTCTAGCAGATGTTCACTGCTAATTGTAAATGCATTGAGAATTCAAATCATCATCTCAGCTTTGTTCTCCATCTTCTTGAATAATCTCTTAAATTTTAGCTTTAAAATGTTTGGAATAATTTACCACAGTTAACTATCAGTCTGGTCATCTTATTCACAATCCAATTCTCCTTTCCTTGCAATTAATAGCAAACCTTCAGGAACAAGTGAATAGTCAGTCACCAAATATCAGGGTAAGAGTTAAATGATTACAATCCAAAACCATATCAAAGCTGTCCCTGTGTGGAGTGTGTCAAAGTTGGTATGTATACTGAAATCCTTCTGAAGTGCCACTCAGATTTGCTAGCAAGTCCAGCTAGCAGTATCTATTATTAGATTCAAGGTTCTTTTCTTTATATAGATCAAAAATAAGGGTTTGCTTCAATTTGTACTGTACAGCCAGGGTCAAAGGTAAATAATGACTTGAATTGTCAACATTTCCAACTAGATTAAACTTCAGCAACACGCTGAATATGCCGCAGATCTTCATAACCACACATGCAGCATAGACTTTTTTAATTTGCATTTTTATCAGGTTTGAGACACTACAGTGTACTTCTTGCATCTTATTTTTAGAATTTGCATTTTATCATCTTCAGATCGTCAGTGTGAAGTACTTTGTAATCTTATTCTTTGATTTTGCATTTTTATAATTTTTTCTGTAAATTGTATGAGGTATCGTGGTTTTCTTTCGTTCATTTCTCCAAATCAGTCTTGGCTTTTTATTTGCTTCCACTTCTTCTTGGCTCTGTAGTCAAAATACATAACAGAGCAAAATTTTGTATATTATATTATGAATATGTTCTTCTGAAGACTTATTCAGAGTGTAAATGCTTAGAATTTATAATAGTATTTATACTTTATTTAAATAAAGAGAAATGGCCAAGTCTTAATAATATGCACACATTCTCAAATTCCTATACTATCTTTTACTCAACAACTTCCTAAAATGCAGCTTTAAGTACTATGAGCTAAATTCAGTAAAAGACTTAGGCACCTGACCACAGAGTGGCATGTATAGGCATAGGGAGAACTGGATGCCTCAGACTGGGTTCCAGAAAAAGCACGCATGCTGAGTAGGAAGGTCCCCAGAGCTAGCCAAAAACTGCATCTGAAATCCCACCTTTTTCATAATTAGGCATCTAACTCAAGGCAGTAGGTAGAAATCTCCATTTACTTAGGTTCCACAACCTGAAACCTTCTCTTAATGGTGGGTGCCTATAAATATTCGTTCAAAGGATGCAATAAGTGGTGGTGGTGGTATCACCTACCTTTTATGTAATAGCTTAGGGCTGAGAGTTCTCACCTGGATGTGGAAGACCTGGACTTAATTTCCTCCTCAGTATGAGAGGCCCAAACAAACAACCTACCAAAAGACTTAGGCTGAGCAACACATGTTTTCAGGATCTCCACTAGGATTAGGTAGGAGACAGGGCTGAGCTGCTTAGACCAGGAGAATACTGGGTATATGTGGAAGCAGAATTCTAGATGCCTGGTAAAGTTTAAAAATCAGAGGTATCTAGTAAGCTTGAAATGCCTCCAGGGGTGGGCAACAACAGAACAAGAGATATCTGAATTGCAATTTTGGACTGAATTTATGTACCTCAGACCTTTATTGAATTTAACCTTTTGTGACTATGTGTCTGTGACAGGGGGCTAACTTGGAGCTGGATCTCAACATAGCCCACCCACCTGTCCCTGTATGGGCAGTCCACCCGGTCTTGCCTGCCACAATTTGCTGTTCCTAAAACTGGTGTAAAAGTGCGTGAGACTGCCCATTTTGTGCCCCAGTGCCAGGGACGCTGTCCACAGATCCATACCATCCCTACACTATGGCCCATGCGTCACAGATGGCCTCATAGGGTCTTAATGTCTCCGGCCTCACACTGGGCCCCATAACATTCGAGTCTGGACCACAACTAGATCCTTCCTACTCAGGTGGTCTACTCCATCCTCATTCTGGGCTGTCAGCTCCCTAGACCTCTTTCCCTCCTGGGTGTGGCTCCCCTCTGGGACCTTTGGCCACACCGGCCCTGGCCCACCTCCAGGCCAGTCAGAACCCCAGACCCCCTGGCTCTGTGCATCCCTCACGGTGGGTTTTCTAGACCTTTTGTCATCCTAGTCCTGGCTCCAGCATTGACCAGTCGAAGGTTTTGTCTAGGTTCTAGCACTGCTCGCCCACTCTCTCTCACACAGGTCCACCTTCTTGGGCTACTCCAAACACAGGCCGTATTTCCCTGGGTTACCCACCAGATTGCGGGGGCTGCAGTTATAAGGTGCCCTTCCCCACCTTTCACTGGAGCGGCAACTGGCCTGGCATTTCTGGGGAGCTACCCTGCCATGGGCAGCTCCACCAAACCATCTTTCCCCAGCAGGGTGCACTTTTCAGTCATATCCAGGACCAGGAGCCTCCCACATTCCCCATAGCTCCTGCCCTTACCTCCAAGGTGTTGTGAGCAGCAGCTCAGACAGGTGTTGTCCTTCAGCTGCTTGCAGCAGACTTCTGCTTCAGCCATGTGGGCCCGGATCTAAAATGGCCACCTCATCAGGGCTTGCCTGCACCTGCCAGCTGCCTGCTCTCAGCCTCAAAGTGGCAGACACCAAAGGTGCTGTCACACACCTTGTCCCTTTAAATGGCTACCGGGGCAGGGGGTGTCTCCCTGCTGCTCACCATGCAGGCTTATCTGTCACCTGCAACAGCCCACTAAGTGGCGAGCACCCCAGTGCTGCTCTGCCACAGTGTCTGTACGTATTAAAGATGTACAACAACATGTATACAATCTATATAGGTGACTTGCAAAAATATAAGTAAATGGAAAAATCTGTTATAGGTTGTTTAATAACCTCAGTTAGTCAACCATGGAGCCTGATCCTGCACTGAAAAACTTACTAATTTAGCAGCATCAATTCCAGCAGGTCAGGCAATGCATTCCAGCCCATTAGTAGGCATTTGTCAACTAGAGGATTTTGTTTAAAGTAAGAATTTTGAGGTAAGGCTTTTTGATACAGTACAGAAAGAACTTACCCTGAACCACATAGCAATTCTCATACCTGGAACCAGGAGAGGATCACAGAGACATCACCACAAGCAGTACAAGTTATGTAATTGATAGGTCTCCTTGTCTCAGATAGATGCTGAGTGAAAGATGCCACTACGGTTTACCATACCCAACTTCTAGGCACCTACCCAGCTCCCAAAGTGAAATCCACAGCTGAGTTAGATGTGTAGAACTTATAATAGAAATTATACTTTATTGCAATAAAGAGAAAAGTATCATGGAAGTGAATACACCACAGAATAGGATTTGCAACAGCCAGCAAACTAAGCGAGGAGCTGCATAAGCCAACACTAAATGCTGAAGAGCGTAGCCTGGTGAGGCACAGGGAAGCTTGCAGCCACCCAGCCATCCAGCTACTCATGGTGCAGTGCAAGCAAATCCTCCTGCCACTGAACACTGCCAAACTCTAGCTCTGTAAGCCGGATTCAATAGCTGCACTGGCCAGATTGAAAGCACCCCTGCCACCATTTTGAAGTGTGGGAATGCTGATACATGAGATGCGGGAGGCTGCTGGAGCATGGTAATTGTCATGCTCCAGAAGAATTGATTAATAGAGTCTACTCCAATGCACTGGAATTACAGTGCGTTGGAGCAACCACTCCCTGCTCATGTATAGGCATTGTAGGTGCCTAAGTCCTTTTGTGGCTCTGGACATAAGTCCCCTAACTTCCAGCTACTGCACATTAAATATTATACATGGAGAAACCACTAGAAAGGGACAAAAGCCTAACTTTTGGTAATCTAGTTTACAAAACCATACTACTTTGTCCACCACTACAAGCCACTGGCCATTCTATTCAGTAAAAACTGCCTAGTTCTTGTCTATAGAGGAAGTCATGCATCTGTCTGACATATTACAAGCACACATAATAGTGACCTGTAAGAAGTAGTTCTTGAGCTAATGTGTAAAAGAACATAGTCTCAACAAGAAACAGCCAACAACTCAGACTTCTTAGTACCACTTAAAAACAGTAATTTTTAGGCTGGATATCTTTTTAAAGTGTTTTCCTGATTCTAGCTGGAGACATAATTAAAACAGAGATGTCATTTTTAACATGTACTGGAAGTAATGCTTTAAAGCAGGTACCTGAATAGATTTTTTCAGACTTAGAGTATGCTTTTGTATGTGGGCTTCTTTTTCTCCAAATTGGTGTATTGTAAGATGCTGAAGTGCATTTGTCTGTAGGAAAATATATATATATTTATACTTTTGCTTGCAATTATAGTACACAGATTCTTATCCTGCTACACAAGCTAAACAATATTATTAGCTAAGGTATCAACTGACACATCACACAAATTACATGCCATCTTGAAATAAAAAATAACATTAAATCAGGACTTAGTCACCAATATGTTAAGAAATTAATTGTATTCCTATATCATGTTTTCAGGAGACTCATAGAAGCTCCCAGAAGAACTTTTTCCACTGAGATCATGGGATTAGGCAGCACAACATTTCCTTTGTAGAAGACCTTCTCATATGTGGCATAAATGCCCCTGGATTAGCAAAGTCTATTCCTTATATATCTCTTTAAACTTAAATTTTGGATGCATGGAATAGTACTGAGGAAATATAACAAAAGGCAGTCTTGTGCTGTTGTCCTATACCATAGGTTCTGAACCAGGGTGCTGTGAGACCCCCTCAGGGGTGCCATGGCACAAGTGCTACCACTGTGGCCAAGTAGAAGTGCTCTACTTAGTGCACAGCCAGACCAGGAAGGGCTATGGCACATACATGGTCTCCTGCTTCATTAGGGTTCTCTGATAATCCTAAAGCAGGCACGAGGCCCCATTTGTGTGGCAGCTTTTTCTGATCTGCTCCCCACATACTCTACCCCAAAACAGAGGCATGTGGTGCAGTGACATCAGCTCTGCATGCCTTTGTTTCTATGAGACTCCATGAAGATTCAGGCCAGGAAGGGCTGCACAATGAGCTGGCTCTCCTGCCAGCTTTAGACTTATCAAAGAATTGTAATAAAGCAGGAAGGTATGCACGTTACAGCCCTTCCGAATCTGTCTCTGCACTAGGTGTGTGGGGCAATTATTTGGTGGTGACGGTTTCACTCTGTTGAGAACCACTGAGAGGTGAAGCAGCCCAACAGTAGTTCTCAATCAAGGATGCTGCCAAATACAAAAAAGTGGGGAATCATAGAAAATCAGGATTGGAAGGGACCTCAGGAGGTAATCTAGTTGAACCCCTTGCTCAAAGCAGAACCCATCCCCAACTAGATTGTAGCAAACCCCCCAGTTTTTCTTTTTTTTTCTTTTAAAATACATTCCCTCCCCTTGCCCAACCATTTCTGACTTTTTCTTTCCCTCTCTATTCCCTATAGATAAGTATAAATGAGCTAAGACATAGGATAAGCTTCAGCATTCTATTTTGGTAGCAAGTTGTATTTGTTTTGTTTTTTTCTCCTTCTTTATATTGTATGTTTATTATGTTTATATTGATTGTTACTGTTCCATATTACTGTTTTACTGGTATTATATGATTTAGGTCTATATATGTAAGTTAGCATAAGTCATGTCAAGTTTCCATTTTGTTTGTCAAGTCTCCATCCTGTCCCCAGGCCTGGTTGTGCAACCCATGACTCACACCTACCTCTCCTATGTAATTTGGTTCCTGAATGAAAGGGAATGAATGAGGACGCTTGAGAGACAAAGGCAGTAGGTCTAAAAATAGCTCCCTCTGAATGACCAAACCATCAACACCAGTACTGGGACCAATGAGCCAGCCCTTGGAAGCACCCATCAGCTTTCAAGAAACAAAAGATGAGGCAACACCATTGTGCCAAGGCTGTACATGCTCAATAAGAACACCTGGAGCCCTCTGGAACAGGACTGACTTTGCCTGGACAGGCCCACCCCATAGGAGATCAGAGGTAGTCTGCCCCATAAAAAGGGGTAGTGAAGACTGACTCTTTGGGATGCCGTCTTCATCTGGACCAGCACCATGCCACATTACCTATCCATCCAGAAGCCCTGCCAGTGACCTGCCCCTCTGGACAACTCCTGCTGGACAAGGATCCCTTTCCAGCCTGGATAAGTAGCCATCACCCCCTACCCCCTCTTCAACCAAGGACTTGGACTCTGCTTCTCTTTCCCACCTGGACTCCAACCCTTCCACTTAGTCTCTTTCTCCTGCTGCCATTGTGTGTGTGTGTGTGTGTGTGTGTGTGTACCAATAACTTCACAGGGTTGTGTAGTGTGTTGTCTGTTTAATAAACCTGTTATTTTCAAACCCTGAGTTGGGTTTTTGTCTGTTTCCTGACTGTTTCCTCCTTGCCACCATGTATCTGTCCCCCCAGTCTCTACGCTGTCAGCCTGTTTCCAGCCTCAGGCTCCCAAGTTTCTGCCTCTCTCTTTTTCCTAGCTGTCTCCTCCTTGCCACCACTTATCTGCCCCACCCACCCCAGTATCTCAGCTGTCTGCCTCAGTTTCCAGCCCCAATCTACCTTAAGAAACCCCAAGCCTCAGTTTCTCAGCCAGTTTCTCTCTAGTCCAATGGTTCTAATCTCAGTTCTGGCAAATTTCACTCCCTACACATTAACTCTCTCTCACCTTACCCTTCCCCCAGGTACCCCAAGCACACATATATACCGTGCCATCCAAGTTAGGAACTTACCTATGTGTAGGTGGGTTGTACGTGTGTGAACTGGTGAGTGTGTGTGTGTATATATCATTGATTGATGATATATGATTTATGAATTAGTAATCTGTGTACATGTACTGAGTGTGCGGGTATGGACAATTGATTTTTGTCTAACTTTTGGGGTGTATAGTGTATGCGCTTGAATTGGTGATAGGTATGCATGTGCCTAGGCTGGTTTGGATATTTATGTGCCTGAGCTGGTAATGTGTGTGTGTGTGTATGTGTGTGTATGCACCTAACTGATTTGTGTGTTTGTATATGTGCAATTGTCACACCCTCCTGTCTAACAATGCAATTTTGAGATCCTGAGAGTTGGTCTGACCCCACAGGGCAACAAGATGATCCCACCCAAGGCTACATCTTAAAAACCTCCAAGGATAGATAGTCTACAACCTCTCTGGGTAACCTGCTCCAGTGTTCTAAGCAAGTTTTTCCTGATATCCAACCTAAACTTCCCTTGCAGCAACTTGAGACCATTGCTCCTTGTTCTGTCATGTGCCACCACTGAAAACAATCTAGCCCCATCCTCTTTGGAACCACCCTTCAGGTAGTTGAAGACTGCTATTAAATCCCATCACAGTCTTCTGGGGGTTGCCTCCCCAATTTAGTAAAGGACCCATACTGTCCCTGATCATCCTTTTGTTGTTGACATACTTGTAAAAACTCTTCTTGTTACCTTTAAAGTCCCTTGCTAGCTACAACTCCAATTGTGGTTTGGCTTTCTTAATTTCATTCCTGCATACCCGAGCAATACCCTTATACTCCTCCTTATCTGTTTGTCCAGGTTTCCCCTTATAAGCTTCCTTTTTATATTTTAGCTTACTGAAGAGTTCTCTTCTGAGCTAAGCTAGTCTTCTGCCATGCTTGCTAGTCTTCCGGCACATTGGGATGGTTTATTCCGGCACCCTTAGTAAGGTTTCTTTAAAGTACAACCAACTCTCCTGGACTCCTCTCCCCCTCAGACTGGCCTCCCAGGGGATGCTGCTCATCAGTTCCCTGATTGAGCCAAAGTCTGGTTTACTGAAGTTCAGGGTCTGTACTCTGTTGTTCTCCTTTTTTCCTTCTTTTCCTCTGGAGCCTGAATTCAAGCATCTATTGGTTACTGCTGCTCAAGTTGCCATCCACTACTACATTCCCCACCAATTCTTCCCTGTTTGTGAGCAGCAGGTCAAGAACAGCATGGTTCCTTGTTGGCCTCTCCAGCACTTGCACCAGGAAGTTGTCCCCTACACTCTCCAAAAACCTCCGGGCTTGCCTGCACACTGCTATATTGCCTTCTCAGCAAGTGTCAGGGTGATTGAAGTACCCCCTGAGAACCAGGGCCTGTGACTGGGAAACTTCTGCTAGCTGTTTGAAGAAAGCCTCATCCTGTACACCCTATCTATAGCAGACACCCACCATGACATCACCTTTGTTGGTGTCCCCTGTGAACCTAACCCAGAGACTTTCAACAGGTCTATTTCCAGTTTCAAACTGGAGCTCTGAGAAATCATATGGTTCTTTTACATAAAGCACAATTCCTCCTCCTATTCTTTCCTGCCTGTCTTTCCTGAACAGGTTGTATCCACCCATGACAATGGTTCAGTCATGCGAGCTATCCCAACAAGTCTCTGTTATTCCAATCATGTCAGAGGGAGGAGGGCTCTGAATCTAAAAAGGGTATAACACCATTACATATACTTCCTCATAACAGAGTATCTTTCACACTAGCTAACCATAGAGCATACAGATGCAATTGTAACAAATACTGCTATTAATATCTTTTCTTCTGATTAACAAAATGCTTTGATGATTCCATAATACCAAAAGGATTCCTATACTCTCTACTGAATTAACATATTCTACCCCTCTACATTAATGATCGCTAAAATTCATTACACTCAGAATGTAAATTTTTAGTCTGATTTTGAATTGATAGAAACTCAGAAATTACTGATCTGAAAATGATTAAAATATATGAGATTTAGTCAGACATAAAGTTATTAAAATTTGAGGAAAATGCAATGTTTTTCATAGAAAAAGAACCTGGGTTGGATTCATCTTTGTGTGTACAATAAATAACTTGACCTTAACTGTGATGTTGCAATTACTCCAAGCAAATAGTAGCCTATCAGCTATATTTGACATTTTACTAAGCACAGACATTAAAAAAATAATTTTCAAATGCTGTGTAACTTACAAATGCTTGATGAAAACCTTAATAATGCTCTTTTAATGCAGCTTTTGTTTGTGTGATATGTACAAGTTAAAGAGGAGGATGTTCTCAATGTCTGTAATAGTCTGAGACCATTCTATCCTGGAATTTCACATATAAGGGTGTCATCCTGAGTATGAGAAAAACTAACAGTCTCTTGAAAAGCTCTTCCTGACTCAAGAGGTACATGGGCCAATCAGAAGTGACACTCTGCTAGACTTGGTCCTGGCCAAAGAAGACAACCTGGTGACTGACTTAAATATAGAGGGAAGTCTGGGTGACAGCAACCATAAAATCATCATGTTCACTTGCCCAACATAAGGCACACAAATCTGATAGCAGGATTGAAGTCTTGGACTTCAAAAACGCAAAATTTAAAAAAGCTTAGGTCATTAGTAAGGGAAGTGCTGCGGGTCCAGGGACCGAAGGCCAAAGGTATGCATGAAGAGTGGTTGTTCCTTAAGGACACGATCCTTGAAGCATAAAGGAAGTCCACTCCCATGAGGAGAAAAGGTAACAGAAGGGCTGGGAAGACCTCTTGTCTTCCTCTTAGGAAAGAAGAAAGAGGCTTATAAACAATGGAAGCTTGGGCCAGGCCCCTAGAAGGACTATTCCATGACAGCCCTCATTTGCATGGAACAGATAAGAAAGGCTAAAGTGGCAACCGAACTTAGATTAGCAATGGGAATTAAGGACAACAACAAGTCCTTCTTTAGGTACATAGGGAACAGAAGAAAAACAAGTGGGAGTGTGGGGCCATTGCTCAGCAACTCAGGAGAGCTGGTTACTGGCACCCAGGAGAAAGCTGAACTCCTGACTGACTACTTTGCTTCGGTCTTTCACCAGACCAAGGGGAAAACAATGCCAGGTACAGTACAGGATGAGCATGGTAGGAATAATCACCCTCCTAATATTGCCAAAGAATTGGTTTATGACCAATTAAAATATTATATATATACAAGTGAGTGGGATTGGATGATGTTCACCTGAGAGTGCTGAAGGAGCTGGCCAAAGACATTGCAGAACCCCTGGCAAAACTCTCCCACAACTTGTGGCACTCTGGAGAAGTCCCTGAGGACTGGAAGAGGGCCAGTGTTGTGCCCATCCACAAGAAGGGCAGGAGGGAGGACCTAGGTAACTATAGGCCAATCAGCTCAACTTCCATCCTAGGGAAAATCCTAGAAAAGTTAATCAAGGAGTCTATCTGTCATAAGCTTGCAGAAGGTGAGATTCTGCATGACAGCCAGCATGGTTTTGTCATGGGCAGGTCTTGCCTTACCAGTCTCATCTCCTTTTATGACCAGGTAACTCACCACCTGGACATGAGAGAACAGGTTGACATTGTATACCTAAACTTCCAAAAGGCCTTTGATCTAGTATCCCATAATGTCCTTGTGAGAAAATTGGAGGATTGTAGGCTTAACTCCGAGACAGTCAATTGGGTGAGAAACTGGCTGCAGGATAGGACCTAGAGAGTGACAGGAAATGAATCTGTGTCATCTTGGCAAGAAGTGGGCAGGGGTATCCCACATGGGTCGGTGCTTGGTCCAATACTTTTCAACATCTTTATTTATGATTTGGATGTGAGGAGAAAGAGCTCACTGGCCAAGTTTGTGGATGACACCAAGTTATGGGAAAGCGTGGTCACACTTGAAGATAGGCTATAGATATAGGCAGATTTAGACAGGCTAGCAAGTTGGGTAGATCAACATCTGATGAAGTTCAATGTTGAGAAATGTAAAGTGCTCCACATTGGGATGAACAAGTCCCAACACCCCTACAGGCTTGGCAGCACCAAACTGACTAGCACCACGAATGAAAGGGACCTGGGGGAAATAATAGACCATGGTATGAATATGAGCCAGCAATACAATGCTGTAGCCAGTAGGGCAAATAAGACTCTGTCATGCATCAATACATGCATCTCCAGCAAAACCAAGGAAGTGATTCTTCTGCTCTACTCAGCGCTGGTGAGACCGCAGCTGGAGTACTGTGCCCAGTTCTGGGCACCACACTTCAACAAGGACATATACAAGCTTGAGAGAGTCCAAAGAAGAGCCACTCATATGATCAGTCTTAAAAGGCAAGCCATATGAGGAAAGGCTGAGGGATCTGGGACTCTTCAGCCTGAAGAAAAGAAGGCTGAGATGAGACCTGGTAGCAGCTTACCACTACACTAGCGGAGTACATCAAGGGCTTAGTGAGCAACTGCTCACCAGGGCACCTGAGGGAAAAACTAGCCACAAAATGGTCACAAACTCCTGGAAAAGCAATTCAAGTTCAACATTAGGAAAAACTTCTTTACAGTCAGGGTATCCAGACTGTGGAATAAGCTCCCTCCAGAGGTTGCACAATCACCTACCCTGGAAATCTTCAAAAGGAAGACAGTGACTAGACAGTCACCTTGCTGGGGTCAACTGACCCCCAGTTATCTTTCCTGCTTGGTGCAGGGGGGCTGGACCCAATGATCTCCCAAGGTCCCTTCTGGCCTTACAATCTATGAATCTGTGAAAAGAAAAAGGAAAAAAAAAAGAAATTGCCAGAATTTGTGATGGCTCTGTCATGTTTTCTGATGGAGTGGTATGGCTATGACCTTATTTGGGACAGCAGTGAGAAATGAAAGCTTGTCCAAAAAAAACACTGCTAATTCCCAGAAATACCTTTGGAAACAGAAATCACAAAGGGCAGGAAAAGCCAAGCTCCTGGACTGCCAGTGATAGTTAAAGTTTTGTTAGTTTAATAAGACAGGTCAGAAGTTAAAAATAAAGAAAAGGCCATAGTGCAAACTTTAAGCTATACTTGGAAAACAGACTGCCAGAATGAAAGAGACAGGACCTCAGAATCTGACCTGAAGGTTTCTTCTCAAATTCCTGACATGTACTAGGTATTGCCAGGAAGGCAGTAGGTTACTTCAAAGATGGAACAAGTGCAGAAAGAAAATGTCACTGTTGCCATGCTAAAAGAACTGCAGGCAGAATACTAATTCTGTCTTCAGACTGGCTGAAATAGAAAGTGACAACTAACCAACCTTAAAACTGTACATCACAAAATGCCACAATAGATTTAAAAAATATATAAAAAGCTTCAGTAATGTCCAAATCCCAGTTTGTATAATAGAAAGTAATATCATAAGAAGGATGTTTGTTTGGTCTCCTGTTGAGGGGAAAAAAGAGGCTGAATGTCTGTTAGGGAGAAACTAAGATTTTCACTACCGAGTTGTTCAATTAGATAATCTTTGGAATTAATATGCAGCACACAGACTAAAGTAAAAAATGGAACACTGGATTATAAAGTATCTTAAAATGCTTTAAAAATTAATTACATTATAAAAGAATTTATTTAATTACACTAAACCAAAGCATAGCCTTTTGTGCTCTCTCTCTCTTTATTGAATTCTTAAATTACCTTTTCACATATATAAAGGTAAGAAGAAATAAGGCCAAACCCCCCCCTCTAGAATAACTAAAGAAGAAAACAGGTACACTGAGACAACATAATACCTGAACCAATTGACTGAAAAGTCTTGAATGCTTTGTAGATAATGGATTTAATTAAGAAACTAATGAAGAGCAGATGGCATAAAAGCAATGCTTAGATCATAGCCTGACTGTGCAGGATGAAATACTATGAACATGTATATAGCTTAGAATTTCAATAACTTTCTCAGTAAACTCTAACATAGTGAACCTTGGAGTAGTTTCATTTTAAATCTGTTTGCATGCTACAGGGATATAAGATGATAAAATACTCAATGCTGTCTTTAAGAAACTTCAAGATTTCTCTACAAATTATGCAGATCTCAAAAGACAGATTTAAAACTCATATGAGTAACTCAAACCAGAAAGATGCAAAAGAGTGGGACAATAAGCTGTTCCCAGCCTATAATGCAACAAGTTTTAAGAAAATTTTCAGTGCTAAATTATCATCAATCTGTTCTTGGGTTTACAAGAAATTCCTCCTGTCCTGTTTCACTTCTGTTCAAGACCTGGTCAAAATCGTTGCTAGGGACTGCAGTTATTGCTAGTGCTCCAATGGACAGTAGTTTCTAATATGGTAGGGATGGGGCCATGGGCCATTCCCTTCTCCTCAGGTAGAACAAGTGACTGGACGTGGGAACTAATTTATGGTGGACCTTTTGCATATAATGGACTTGATACTCAAGCAAATTGTGGCTGCCTTTACTTTTTGGCTTCCCCAGAACTTAATGACATTTTCTCATTTTTGTTTCTGGATTTTGCAATAATCTGTTTAAGATTATCTGACATGAGTCAAATGTCACTTAAATATATTGATGCAGGGAATAATTGGGCCCAATGGTATGCAGGATGACAAGGAATCTTGTATAATTAAGAGCCCACCTGTAGATATATTCAGTTTGGATTCTTTACTGAAGCTGACGTTGCTGTTGGTCACATTTGTTGATCTTCCAGGTTCTGGTGAATAGAAGGAAGTGCTTCTCCCAGAAGCTTTTAGAGAAGGAATATAAGAAGCAGTCTCAGAATTCTGGCTTTGATAACTTCTTCGGCAATTTGCTTCACTTTTTGAGTGAGAACCATGCATTGCTGGAAGTAAAAAAGATACATTACATCAAACTTTCAAGATAGTTCTCAATATCTGACATATCAGTATAAAGGATACATAGTATACAAAAACACACCTTTTAATTGATAGGAGGTTGTGTTTGATTTCATCAGAGAATCAGAAATGGAAACTGACATTATCCCTTTTTAATTGGTTACTTAAAACTAATTAGTCAAGTATTTCCTTAAATACCTTTCCCCATATATGTACTAGATGAGTTTTTTGATTCCTCAGAAATCCATTTCTTTTTCTTCACTCCTTTAAAATGATGTTTCTTTATAGGTTCAGTGTAGTTCATTCCTAAAGGAACATAATGACATGGATTCACTTTTTGAAAATATACAATATGATGAAATCTCTTGATTTTGCTGGTTCCTCTCTGATGTAATCATTACCAGGGATGTTTTACCAATCTGCAAAAGCCATTTCTCTCAGTTTAAGTATTGATAGTCAGAGATTCCTTTGTGGTCATCAAAAACCTTTTCTTCTCTGCTGCATTTCCCAGTATCAGAAGCTGACATGACAGCCTGGGAAGTCAGGTTGTTATACCCTGCTTACTACTTCTCTCCCATCCGCTTATTTTGTTAGTGTTTCATGACTGGGTTCTTCAGCTTTATAATAGTCTATCTACTGCTTTCCTCAAAGAGAAGCACATGTAAGAAATCTGTTCCACTCCCTTTGTGTCCTTGTATAGCAATTGCGTGCATTGTGGTCTTTGTGCTCATTTCCTATATTTTAACTGCATCTTAACTATATGTCAAGCAGTTGTGGCCCATCAGTGAAAGGACCCCATTTATTCATCAAATCACCACAAGGTGATTTGAAAAAAGAATTACTAGAATTACTTTCCCACGTTTCATATAAAGCTGTTTTTGGACAAAAAGCTTTCTTTTACATAATAAAAAGCTAATTGTGAAAACAGTCATGATAAGTAGAAATATGAGCAAGTTTTGCCTCGTTAAAAACAAATGATATTTCAAAAAATGTGAAGTGTATTAAAGGAAAAGCTCATGAAATCTTGCAAGTGGACTTCAAATTTAATTTTAAAAATACAGTATTATTAAAGTAATGCTTTTTGACCAAACTATAGTTCAAATTATGCCTAAATAAAAGGCAGAAAATCTGAGTTAATACTACACTGAGGTGTCATAGATTTTATGGCCTACAAATATCCACTGTAATTCACGCATATATTCTACAACAATAGTTTTCAACCTGTGGCCTGCAGATACCTGGGGGTTGGCAAACTATGTCTAAGGGGCCCACAAAATATGACTACGATCAATCAAAAGTATGTGATTATCCACACTTACAATTCAAAGGGGTTCACACCTCCATCTGAAATTTCCAAAGGGGTCTGTGCCTCCATTCAACATTTTTAGGAGTCCACAAATTTTAAAAGGTTGAAAACCACTGCTCTACAACTATGAACTAGGCCTCTTATGCAGCATGCATGTGCAAATCATAGTCCTTTTCAAAAGTAAGTATATTACACCCAGAGTAGAATTCCATGTAAATTGATCCAAAGCACAGAAAAGCAACTATGGGAGCTGACAGAAGTGACATTTGTCATATGATTAGATCCCTGAAAGTGCTCTACAGCTGTGCCCTGACAGAAGTGCACAGCTGCAGAGCACTTCGAAAGTACCTGATTACACAACAAATTAACCCTCATCTAATGAGGGTTCAGATGAAGGAGCTTCATAGCAAAGTACCATAGTTAATTTCTGGCAGTCCCTGTGCATGATCATCAGGGCTTCCCATCTCCAGTGCTGTCTGCAAGACGGGAGTGGGGAGAAGGGAGGTGGGTAAGCTCCAGACTGGCCAGCCTGAGCTGGAGGGGGGACAGGTGGATTGGAGCCCCTCCACCTCACAGCCTCCCCAAGCCTCTCCCCCTCCAAGTCAGGCTGGGCAAAACCCGCCCCCTTCCTTCTCCCCACTCCCATCCTGCAGACAGCATGAGAGCTGAGAGGGGGGCTGGACTGGGCGGAGGAGAGGCTAACCATGAGTTAGAGCAGGGAGCTGCACATCTGTCAGCACCCTACGTTACTGAGTGTAAAAAACACATTAAGGGCCTTGGCATAAATACTAGGGCTGTGCGAAGCTTCACGTGCTAATTTGATTTGGAGGACATTTGGCCCGATTCAGTGGCTGAAACTCTGAATCTGAATCGAATCAGGAGACCAACTGAAATGTCCAAATCGATTCAAAGCTCTCCGAATTGGTCTGGAAAAGATTCGGAAAGCTTCAGCGATTCAGGGAGTCCCTACTCACTGTACCAGGGAGCTGGACCTGGAATCCATCCTGGTAAGTAGGGGGTGGTGGAGGGGGAGCTGGAGGATGGGGGAAGGGGGGCAGCAGGGATGGCCCCCCCGTCTGGCAGGAGCTGTCCCAGCACCTCCCCCCCCATGGCTGCCCTGCCTGGCCCCAGCTCCTGGCTCTTTAAAGAAGCCCCCACTCACCACCAATCTCTGCTGCTCCCCACTGCCCCACGTTGCACGGGGGGCTCTGCCACGAGTCCCCTGTCTCAGCTCCCCCCATGGCTGCTCTGCCCAGCCCCAGCTCCTAGCTCTTTTAAAAAAAAAAAGTGCTGACTCACCAGACGCTGCAATAGCCTTGGAGCTTTTGAGGGCTTGTTGCAGAGCCACCCGCACAGTATGGGGCAGTGGGGGGCATCAGGGATGGCCCCCCCGTCTGGCAGGAGCTGGTGAGCTGGGGCTTTTTTATTTTACTTTAGTTTTTTTTAAGGGCCCGGAGCTGGGGCCAGGCAGGGCAGCCATTGGTGGGGCTGGGAGTGCAGGCAGCGGTCAGGGGGCTCATGACACAGCCCCTCACACAGCATGGGGCAACAGAGGGCAGTGGGGATTGCCCTCCCATCTGGCAGCAGCTGGTGACTGGGGGCTTTTTCTTTTTTTTAAAGTGCCAGGAGCTGAGAGAGCAGGAAGGGCAGCCATTGAGAGCAGGCAGGGGAAGGGGCCGATTCGCGGATTTGGCCGATTTAGCTGCGGCTAAATTGACTTGGGATGGTGATTCGAATCACTGAATCGAATCACTGTCCCCCAAATCAGTCAAATCTGAAGTGAATACTAGCCACTTCGCACAGCCCTAATAAATACCTCCATTCTGTATACAGCCTCCATTATATAAAAGTTATAACAAGCTTTGGGTAACCTTGTAGAGAGACAGGCTTCCAAGGCTAGATTCCATGTTTTTGCCGATGTAAACAAGAAAGCAGTGGCTAGGTGCTTGAATATAGTCACATAAACAAAGCAACTGAAACCCATTACCATAAGGAACAACATTCATTGCCAAGAGTTGAAACCTAACTGATAATATTTGAAGCCATCCTAGTTAAAACAGTTGTTAAATATTTATCATAAATGCTTCACTTAGCTGAGGAGGGAGTCTTCACGATCAACCTCTTCATTATCACATATCCTATCAGGTTGTTGATAGATGTCTTTAATAATTGTATATGTATATATGTGTGTGTGTGAGAATATATATATATGATAGGCCTGTGTGAAGTGGCTAGTATTCGCTTCAGATTCAGATTCAGCCAATTTGGGCAGAAAGTGATTCAATTTGGTGATTCGAATCACCTGTCCCAAATCGATTCAGCTGCTGCCGAATCAGCCGAACCTCTGAATCACACAGGCCCCATTCCCTGCCCACTCTCAATGGCTGCCCTGCCCGGCCCCAGCTCCTAGATCTTTAAAAAAACCTCCGTACTCACCAGCTGCTGCCAGGCAGGGGGAGGGGTGGTGATCCCTGCTGCCCCTGGTGCCCTGCGCTGTGTGGGTGGCTCTGTCATGAGCCCCCACCCCGCACCCGCTCTCCCAGCTCCACCCCCTGCTCCCCATGGCTGCCCTGCCTGGCTCAGCTCCTGACTCTTTAAAAAAAAAAAATTATGCCCCTACTCATTGTCTCCTGACAGGTAGGAGGGTGAGCCCCGCTGCCCCTACTGCCCTGAGATGCACGGGGGGCTCTGCCACAAGCTTCCAGAAGCCCCAACGGCTGCTGCAACAGCCAGCGAGTGTGAGGCCTTTTTATTTTTTAAAGAACCGGGAACTGGGCCCAGGCTGGGGAGCCATGGAGGGGCTAGGAGAGTGGGTGGGAGTTGCAGGGTGCTCAGAGGGGCTGGGGGAGCAGGCAGGGGATGGGTCCTAGCGAGGGTCCCTTCCCCACTCCTTCAGCCCCCACCCCCTACTTACCAGCATGGAGCCCAGGTCCAACTCCCTTCAGTGGCCATATCTCTGAAGCTCTTTGAATTTTTTCTGAATCAATTCAGAGAGCTTTGAAACAATTCGGACCCTTTTTATTAGTCTCCTGATTCAATTCAGATTTGGAGATTTGGCTGCTGAATCAAACCGTATCTCCTCTGAATCGAATCAGCACCTGAAGCTTTGCATAGCCCTAATATATGATTGTACTGAAATCTTTGCACTGAAAGGTACACACTTTCCACTGAAAGGCAGCTGGCAAGACCTTTAATACTGTAGTACCTGCTCCCCTACAAGAAAAAATGACACTGTCTCCTCTTACCTCTAGCTGACCTGCATATGCACTACTTTTCCTTCTTGTCCATTCAGGTCATGCTGGGAAGAATTCTAAAGTTCCACTACATATGTTTATGTGGAACATTTTATTACTTTTTGACATATCTGTAGTTTATAGTCAGAATTTATCCTTTATTTTTCCCTTCAAAACATGCAAATGATAAGCAGGTAATGACTAATCAACAATGACTATGTAAATAAAACCAGCCAATATTTTTCAGCTGACAAAATATTGCATTAAAACATGCAACATCTCAAACATGTTTTGGTATTCTGTAGTGCAAACTGAGGCCCCTTTAGACTTCAAGTATACTTGATAATGTCTTTGATAATTTTGCTGATTTAGGGCATCCATTAGGGACCTGATTCTGTGGGATGCCACACATCCTTAATTCTGATTAACTTGCACTGGAGTTGAGACTTGCTCAACGTTTCATTTCAGGATTGGACAAATTGGGCCAGATATTATGCCACATACTAGTATTAGGTACATAAGCAGGCATTCGTAACCTGCAGTTATCTTAGCCTTAAGACTAAATCATAGAAAGCAGTGAGGAGGTGGACCCAGCTACTTTTGCATTAACTTTTTTTTTTCAGGGACTTAAAAGGGTGGACTATGAACATAACCATTGGATCCCATCCAATAAGTAAAATAGAATCTGGGCCTTAGTTTTGAAGAAGATTATGATAATAATCTTGCTCACACTGAAGTCAATGAGAGAACTGGGCCATCATAAAAATATTACTATCCATATTCATAAGGATGAAAGAAGCCAAAATGTTAATGACATTTCATCAAGTTACAGCATGTCTCTGGTAGTCAGAAGATACAGGTCTTGCCTTATATGTTCAGCCTAATTACAAAGTGAGCAAAAACATTTTCCAAAATTACAAGAAATATAAATAATTATTCAATACCTTTTATATCTGAAGGTTTTGATATAATTAACTGTTTTCCCCCATTTAATGCTTCATTTTTCTTCCTTCCACCAACTCTGTTCCTTTGTGGCACATAACAATCACCCCCTACAGAATCACAACATTAGGAATAAAGGAAATAAATGTCATGTCTTTATTAAGATAAAATAGTTTGATATAGTTTTAGTGTGAAGAATGCAAACTACTAACTTCATACTTTTTGACATACACTTTTTACTAGTTTTAGTGAAATAACTATATATTAAAATCCTAAAAATTAAAAGCAAACAGGAAACTTATATGTAATATGTAATATATAAAGCTCAGATAAGTGGAAATTTAAGATACTTTTAACTCATTTCTCAGTCTGACTGGATTTTCATAATTAAGTCTCCTTCTACACAAATACTTCTACATAACAGCTTATACAACATTAAAACAGATACATTTATCACACATTATATGCACAGGGCTCAAAGAAAGAGATAAGCATATTTATAAAATTCTATGTAATTCTTATTTTTGCTACTACCAAGTGTTCAAAAAGAAAAGGAGATTTCCAGTTCTAGATAAATATAAATTGCTTAATGGGTTTAATTAATACTATTGGTATTCATAATACATTGAGTTATCTTATTTACCATATGATTATTAATAGTAACAAAATATACGTCAAAGCATTTATCAGTATTTCCATTTTTAAGTCTACAGGGCATGAGAATACTTCATCCTTAATTACTTACCTTTGGCTCCATGGATGCAGACCCCTATGCCTGCAGAAGACCTCACTGAAGAAATCAGTACAGATAAAACAGCTTTTAAGATTTGGACCTATGTGACTGCCAAAAATAAGAGGTGTGTTCACCTTAACTAATGATATTCTCTCAAATATAGCTATTTCTGAAAGCATCCTGCACCAGTCTGTTATCTCTTTGTCAAGCCTTTCTGAATAAACTATATGTGTTTCTTTATAGCCAGGGTAAAACACAGAAATAATCATTTTTTCTGGATTAAATAAATAACCAACTCTGTTTCATCACCAAATTAAAAATATTTTGTTCACCCTGTAGCTAAGATAGGTGGAATCCAAATATGAAATACTAATTGTTTTTTTTTATAAAAAGCACTGAAAAAAATACCTTACAGAACATAAATACAGTGGAAATAAATTTCACTGGAGAATACTTGCAAGGCTTAAGTGCTATTGATATTCATAATACCTCTGAGTAATTTTATCTACCATAGGATATTCAATAATGACAACACATACTTTAAAGTAATTACCTCCATTTTCAAAGGAGCCAAGGTCCGTCCTCGTGTTTCCATTTAATGATACTATTATTTCTCCTTGTCTTTTTATATTGTGAAACTTTGCTGGAACTGAAACACCATCACCTGGGAAGCAATAGAGGAAAAGTATTAGCCAACTTATGCTGAATCATTTCATTTGTGACACATAAATGGATATGGGATAGTAAATGAAGTTATGAATAACACTGTACAATTCAGGCTTACACTGATTTTTTGGAAAGTGACACATAAATTAGCATTTTTTTATATAGACTAATGGGGAATTATCAGTAAAACATATATGCATACCAAAAAGACATAACAGAACTAAACCACAGAGTACAAAGCTGAGACAATACACTTAAATTTTGCTAATTCAGAAAATATGACTTACTGTATTAAAACTTGTGAATTGTCAAGTGGGTATTACACACAGGGTGCATCTACACATCTCCCTACAGTGACATTTTTATTGCACTAGGCTTTAGTACTTCCTTTTGGAAGTAGTAAAAAAGCACAGTGACTACCCATACTGCGCCATGCGCACGGTGCACAGTTAGTTTTAGCCACTACTTCACCATAGCGGCGCACTAAAACAAGGGAACGCACCACTACTGTGAAGTAGTTGCCTGTCATGTGTAGACTCATGTGATCACTATGTTGCTTGTCATACAGCAACTTAGCACATCGTTATGGTGACATACGGTGACATGTAGATGTGCCCACACATACATAGTTTTAGAAGAAATACATAAACTTGCCTTAAGTTCAGAAGGAAACATATTATGGAACATGTTAGCCATGATTACCTACTGTAGGATTTCTTGCACTTGGTTCTGTCCGTTATCGGTGAAAGAATACTAGACTAGATCATACTAAGAGCAAACAATGTTTACTGCACACATATCAAATATATTTATTTGTATTGCCAATGATTAACTGTTTCATTTCACTGTAAGGATTTTAATTACGCAGGTGATAGGGGGCATGTCTACATGTGCAATTAATAATGCACAGTAAGCCTTCCTGAGGAGCCAATCTACATGTGCTCCCTGTTTGGAGCAAATCTGCTCTCAACAGAACAGCCCAGGACAGGGCTGCTCCAACTCTGCTCTGGTCCCCTGCAGCAGCCAAGAGGAGATCCAACCTCATCCTAGGTGTTAGCCCAGGGGATAGCAGAGAGCCTGGTGCTGGTCCCCATATGCACAGGGCCAGGAGAGCTCTGCCATCTTCAGCAGCAGCTGTCTTCTGGCCCTTTGCACATCAGGAGGGGTCCTGATGTACAGGGGACCAGGAGACAGCTGCATCTGCAGAACTCTCCTGGCCATCTGCACATGGGGACAAGCTCCATACCTAGCAGGGCTTCTGTGTACAACTGGCAGCTCGCCCAGAGCTGTCCCACTCCTGGGACAGCTCCAAGCCAGCTCTGGGCTGCAACAGGATTTCTCTGAGCAGCCCAGAGATGGCTGAGAACTGTCCCTTTTGGGACAGCTCCCACTCAGCTCCAGACTGCACAAGGATTCCCCCTTAGTGTTGGGGCTGACCGGACACAAATTTGTTCCCAGTCAGTGTCTACATGTGCACATTTACTAACTGTATTTACAGGTAGTAGCTAACTGTGTAGAGAACAATTTACTGTACAGTAAATGTGAGCACATTTAGACAGTGACATTTTCCCATGCAGCAGATTAGTCTACTGTGCAGTAAAGCATCTCATGTAGACACACTCAGGGTCTCTCTACTCAGCACTGGTTAGGCCTTATCTGGAGTATTGTGTGTAGTTTTGGAATCCACATTGTAAAAAGGATGAGGAGATAATCCAGAGGTGGTCCGTAAAGAGCTTGGATAAAGAGCTTGGATAACAATTTTCAAATACCTGAAGGGCTGCTATAAAAGAGAGAGAGAACACCTTTTCCCTCTTGCAGCAGAGATTAGTTGGACAGGGACCAATGGCTTGAAGTTGCAGTAAAATAGGTTTAGATTGGATATCAAGAAAAAACCTTCTTCGCTGTCAGAACAGTGAGTCAGTGGAACTAATGCCTAGAGAAGTTGTGGATTCTCCATCACTGAAGGTGTTTATGAAGAGGTTGAACAGCCATTAGCTGGGGATAACAGGCTTAGCTATGCCTATTTTCTATTCTGGGTACTCCCTATGCTTCTGGGCTTTGCTAGTTGTTGCATGGGGCTCGGAGGGAATTCTGCCCCCTTTCGCCCCCATCTCTGCTACATGCATCAGGGTTTTTTTAAGCCTTCCTCACAGGCATTGAGTGTTGGCTGCAGCCAAGGCTGGGCTTTTGACAGGGGTATGCCAATGCTCCTGCTGGGACTAGAAGGCAGAGGTTCCTGCCTGCAGGGTCTTGGTCCTCTGCTCAGGGTCAAACCAATCACCATATCTGGGGTCAGGAAAGATTGTGGGGGTTTTTGCTTTCATCTGTAGCAGTGGATGTGACCCTCTACCTGGGATCTCTTGATCATAAATTAACAACCTTTTACAAAAGAAGGACATCCCCCTGCTTTACCTGTGGTAGGTTAAGGTGTTATGTCTTGTGTCAGGGTTGACAGTAGTTTTACTCAATTACATTATGGATATGCATAGGATAGTTTGGATAGGAATGATCCTGCAACAGGGAGGGGATTGGACTAGATGAGCTATGGAAGTCCCTTCCGGCTCTACTTCTCTATGATACTAATCAAAGAACTACTACTTCCAGTAAATCTGACAGTTTGTGTAGATATGGTCCAAATTTAGATCTAGAGAATGCTCCAGTCTTCTCTAAAATCTGGTGTTCATGTTCCACAGAAACATTGCTGTTCTCTGTATTGCATCTATTTTGCTAGCTAAGGTATATAGACCAGCGGTACGGTCATATTATTTGAACATTATGTCATTCTCTTCCTCACATTTATCTCTGTGTAAATGTCCTCTAATCTTCTCCTATGTGTCCCTTTTTTCATTCTTATTAGTCATTTGACTGATTTTTACTGTAATTAAAGTACCTAAAGTATATCTTTTCATTTTATATCGTACATCATATGAAGAACATAAACTTATCAAGGACTTTAACTCTTGTGAAATGTTATCACAAATGAACTATAGGAAAGAACAGCTGCTTTGAACTGTAAGTAGGTAGTAACTTCATATGAATGATGGTTATTAATTTAATCCTCTCTGAGACAGATTAAAAACACAAACTGGTTTAAAAATGGCAGAACTCAGTCTAAGATTTGCCCCACTGCCACCGAAAGGCAAATGTGTGTTATGTTCGCTAGTGATCTAAACTACGCTGCTGACAGAAAACCGCATAACTTAGATTAATTCTACCTCAAGCTTTTTGAATGTCTGTACTTTGCCTTGGGGACAAACCAGGCCATGAATCTCAACACAGTGTATGTAGGGATATTAGTCTCAGGTCTACTTAGCTGGTGTGACTTCAATCCACAATACTGTAGTCCAGTGATGCTCAATCTTTTGGCCCGGTGAGCCAGATGAGTGGTGTGGGGCAGCTCTGCCAGTTGGATCTGACTCCATATACCAGAACTGGGCCCCACTGCTTCAGCCAGTGCCATGCACCAGGATTGGGTCTCAGGCTGCTTTCAAATGGCCCTGTGTGCCTTGATTGGGTAATGCACAACCTTGGCCCACCCTCACATACCAGGACAGGCCCCATGCCACTCTGGACACCCACAATTGGCCCTGATCCTGCATGTCCTATCCTGCATGCAGGACCATGCTATCCAGTGTAGACTCACCGTGGGTCCAGAAATCCAGGAGTAGCTACCACTGCTACTCTGCCACAAAATTTTTAGACCTAAAGGGAGCCCTGCTGGCCACATTACATGGCCCCAAGTGTTGCATATGACCTCCAGGTTGGGGGTTGAGCACCATTACTACAGTCAGTGGAGAAGGTCCATTCTACACCAACAGTTTATGTGCAGTCAAATTCCATTACATTCTCAAATGGTAATGAGAGTATTTCTATTAGTTTCATTATGGATAATAATGCTTTTGGAAATGTTCAAAAACTAAATGTCAAACAATCTAGTAGCAAGAAAAGTAAAATCTTTATCTTTGATGTTAAAATCATCACAAGTCAAGTACTTGCCTTCGTGTAAATCTCTGCCAGTTTCGATAGGCTTCAAGAGCTCAATCTGCAGTGCTGAAGACATAATTTTTACTGAGTAGTTTTCCTGAGGTGTCTGAATTCTGTAATACTCTCCTAATCATGTATACCCCAGAAAAAGAAAAAAAATCTTTACTATGGTGATTAAATAAATATTTTAGAAGACTTAATAATTAGATATTTACCAGATTTATAACATATTTCCCTTATTGCTCTTTCTTCCTCAATGTCTGCAGGAGTCTTTATCAATAAATTAGAGATACCTGTAGAAAACATTTTGAATAGTTAAGGTCTTCCTATTTAAATGTTATAAACAATTTCATTACAGAGAAGTGGTCACTTTTTTCCCTTCTGTTATAGGTTTAACCCAACCCTCTGACTTTTGGATTTCAGACAGAAAAGATACTTCTTAATGCTAGACATTTTCAGCAATACAGTCTTAATAATGATGCATGTCAAAAGGCTGATGACTATTATGATGATAATGCCAGATTTTCACTTTTGATGATAGTTAAATTAAAATTATTTAAAAGGCTTTCTTGAAGTCCTCAGTCTTCAAAGGAAATGTACTCACATATAAGGGAAAGGATCTTGTGTTGACAAGATTTTGAATAACCTGCTATTGAGTTGTTTGGCAATGTCCTAAGTATACTCAATAAATCTATGATCATTTGTTTGCAAGAGATCTGGCTAGTGGCCTTGGCTACAGAGGAAATGTTCTCAAGCTTAATTCATAGAATTATAAACAAGGGTTAGAAGGGACCTCAGGAGGTGATCAATCCAAACCCCTGCTCAGGGCAGGATCAAGCCTATCTAAGCCATATTTTACACGAGCTCATTTTAAGCTGAGTTAATTAAACCAGTTAAAAACCCTACACATACAATTTAAGAATGACTTTTTTGATAGCTGACCTGAAATAAGATGGTCTATGTAGGGATCTCAATTGACATAAATTAAATTGTTTAAAAACATTTAAAATTAAATTATCGTTTGTAGATGCACTCTAAAGCTGCGTCCACATGAGCAGGGGTCTGTGTTTGCACCAGCACAAACAGTAGCAGCACAAATTGGTTCCACTACTTTGTGCTGTGCTGCACACCCCTGCTCACACAGTTTGCAGTGGGACACATTGCCCCACTGCTTCATGTGCTGCAGGAGGGGCTGGCTGGGGCACAGGACACTGGGGAATCTTGGTAGCAAATTTTGCCCCCATGCTGCAAATTAGCAGTATGGGGCATGGTTTAACATGCAACATGCACAGTTTGAGGCATGACAAAGAGATTTGTGGCACCACAAACCACACATGCTTGCATGACTGGATCCAGCCTAAGTCTATGACTCTGCCCCAAGACTGGGTAGCTACATGCAGTCTGCATTGTCATGCAGATAGCCACTTCAAAAGGGAAAGAACACATTAACAGAGTAACTTCCATTGCCAGTGTAGCCCAGGCAATTTGTACAGCTCCCATTGGAGGGAAAACATGGGAATGTTCTGACCTGCTACAGATATGTCCCTGCTAAATGAGTAATCTCCCAACATATCTCTTAGCATCATAGTATCTGATCAAGCAAGCTGTCACTTATGAAAGCTCATGCCTCTCTGAACCATTTAGTCCCTAAGGGTGCGTCTGGATGAGCACTCCCATGCATTTCTCTGGGGACAACCAGCAGCAGCATAGAGTTGTGCTACTGCTAGCTGTCCTTAGGGAATGCTTTTGTGTGTGCGCTCCAGTATGTGCCAAATTGACCTGGGTGGGGTAGGAGAAGCTAGGGCTAGCACCTGGGCTGGTCCCAGAAGCCTTACTTAGGGACCTCCTGAGGCTGCAGTACTGGCAATCCAAGCACACGGAGCCTGGCTGGCAGCCAGAGTATGGCACTGGCTGGCCAAGCTCCAGTTTTAGTTTCAGATAAAATAAAAATTATATTTACAGTTTTCTTCTTGTTCCTCCTCCTCTTCCTCCTCAAGGCTGATGTTTATGATCAGTGGAGGGTGAATGGGTCTTAAAGTGCTTTCTTGACCTTTCAGGGGTTCTTGGCTAATGACAGGATGAAGGGTATTTTCCTGAAAATCTTGTGTGTGTGTGACATCTATAGGAAAGAACATGATGTTCAGTTTGCTAATAAGGCAATAGAGAACCTGTTTCTCAATATTTGATTATACTTCTGAATCATAATTCTCTGTTACTTTGTTACAAAGAAGCAAATGGCCGAATTTTAGTATCTTGAGCAGGGCTTTGACAAAGTTGATTCTTCCCAGCAAAGAAACACATGAAGAAACCGTGACTCAGAGGGCATGTCTACATGTGCGCATTTACAGCACAGTAACCAAAATTATGCACAGTACGGGCGTGCGTCTACACGTGCATGCCCAAACTGTGCAGTAAATATGGTGACTTATGCCAACTTGAGTGTAATTTGATACTTGCAACATGCAGGTATCAAATATACGCCCAATTAGTTACTGCGCAGTAATGCATGTGTAGATGAGATGCCTTACTGTGCAGTAACACTGTGTATGGACTGATTTAGTATTAACTTTAGTCCCAAGTCATTCCATGTGCAGTGTTAATGTGCTTTACTGCCTGCATATGTAGACGCTGGCCTATTCCCACTTATTGCACAGTAATTTACTGTAAAGTAAATTTAAGGTGGTGTAAATGCACATGTAGACACACCCAGAGAGGCACAATGCCTACATGTAATAGTTACAATGAACTGGTAACTATTTTAAGACAAAATGTAATTGTTACAACAGATAAATGCTGTTTTAATATGTGCAATATTATTATGGAGAACATGGATTTATTTTTTTTTCCAATTTGCATTTTCTACAAGCATTTTAGAAATTTATCAGAAATAGCAGCAAGTGAAACTTTTTAATAAAACCCTCAAAGAGTCGAGCAATTCCTTCTACTATGTTTGTTAGCAAGTCAGTAAATGCTGAAGATAAAGAATGGCTGTTTTATTGTTCTCAGTCAAATATGATCCATAAAGCAGAAATATTTTGAAGTTTGTAATATGCAATGGCTTGTTCTCCCAGACAAAAAGAGTAACTGTACATGAAGAGAGCCTGTAAAGATTTACTCCACCAGTGAATAAGACTCAATGTAATGTATCCATATACGTTTAGCTGTGAGTCCTGTGTTAATTCTTCAATATTTCTTCCAGTTGGCTTTGCGTATATTTGCTACTTTTTCAAATGTTCTTTTGAAAACAGAGCTTTCTCTGTTAATATTGCCTTGGGTTATCTAGCGTACTACAAAATGTTTGACCTGAATGTGTATCATGATGGCAGTTGCAAGACACAGGACCCAGAAAACCCAATTCTATGAAACAGATGGCTTTGATAAAATATGAATGCTTCTTTAATAAGGATTTTCTCTGAAACAGCAAAGACTCCTATACCAGGCTGCATTTTCTCTTACAGTTAGGGTAGGAAATGGAAGCCTTTTGCCAAAATCAAATGCCTAGTTTAAAAACTGACAGTTCAGTCATTATGGGAAATAAGCCACAATATAGGACATTTCAATGTTATAGCAATGATGAGTGGTGCCTTTATTAAGATAATGTTGTTAAAGAAATTAATGTACAAAAAGCTAAACTACTTTCTAAAAGTCTTAATTTAGACAAGTCAGATATAAACTAAAGATTCGTGACGTACATTGTTTAAGGACCACATACAATTCAGTATTGACTTCAGCATGAGTCCTATATTTTTAGGATCCATACAGATCCAGATGTTGACATCAGTCACAAAGGTCTGCAGTACATTATTAAATCCTATGGATTTAATAATTCATATTATTATTATGGATTAATAATAATAATAATAATAATAATATTATGGATTAATAATAATCCAACAATAATCCTATGGAGTCAGTTCCCTCTTAGACTGTGTACATGCATTGAAATAATCAGAGAAAATTCTCCCAGGTTTGTCTTCCTGGTAGAGAAACATACCTGGACCTCTGCCTACAAACATTCAAATACTGAGGCCCTGAAGAGCACAGAGCCTGCAGTGCTGACACTGTGCAGCCAAGCCTGTGCACACATCTCAGGCATGCTCTGCAAGCTTCCTTAGTCTGTAAAGTGACAGATTGCATCTGTGCATAGGGCAGCCCAGATTGGCTGACCCAGGCTACCCAGTCAGCTTGCTTCCCTGTGGTACAATGTGGAGATTGTAAAGGGGGAGTGTTATGCTCTCTGCTGGAGTAGCAGAGTCCATAGAGTCTCTCTGGGGACAGGGGAAAGGGGGAGAAGCTGGAGGACTACGTTCTCCTCTGAAAGAAGTCATGGAATGTATAGACATTTGCTCTCCCAGGGAATGATTTAACTCTGGTTGTTCCCAGGTTATTTTTCTCCTGGAGTGGCCATTTTTAGCCTGAGAGAAAAAGCCTGAACTTCTATACACTTGTGTTTTCTCCTGGAAGAGTAGTGACTCTCCCAGGAGAAACTGAATTAAGGTCTGTCTGAGGCCTTAATTCCTTACCTTATAAATAAAGTCATAGTTTTGGTTTAAAGAAACACAAGAAAACAGAAAGTTCTACCATTATTAATCTCTTTTGTATATGTAATTTGAGACTGACTAACCTATATATTTTTTATTTTAAGCAGCTAAAACTCAGCAGCTAGACCAATACTTAAGCCCCTTGTTTAACTAAAATCCAGAGTGAAGGGAAGTTGGCTAGGGACTTTGCTTGAAATCTCTTTCCTTCCTTCACTGTAAGTTTGCTGAGAGGAATGAGATTTGCAGGAATAATGAACCCTTCAGGATCAAGGAACAGCTAGTGGGCCAGCTACAGAGGCATTTGCTAAGGAAGGTCTGCTTGGAAAGAGTGACAGGCAGCAAATTAGAAGACCCAGGGAGATGGCTGGAGGATGTTGCAGTCCCAGAGCCACTACCACTTCCAGCTCTTCCTCTGCTTGCATCTGTGAGGTGTCTGTCCAGGCAGAACCACATACCATTGAGGCTTCTACCCAGGTCCTGGTTTGGTGCTGTGCAGACTGAAGCTTTCAGGTTCCTTCCAATGTCAGCCAGGTGGGGGAGTGCCTGAGATGTGAGTGGTGCCTTCTGGTGGTGTCTCTCAGGGAGAAGGCAAGAGAGCTAAAGAAGGAGGTAGCAAGGCTCTGAAACATCCTCCACCATGAGGACTTACTTCATCAATTCCATGCTGGAGAAAACCTCAAGGATTGTGGAGGAAGGACTGCCAGAGGTAGTGCTAGAAAAGGAAGACAGTATGGGCTCCCTGGAAGCTGGAAGCTTGTGACCTCTGGCACCTAAAAGAAGTCATCATCTCCACCTGCAGTGGTTTGCCTGAAGAGCAGATATGGAGTGCTAGCAACAGAGGAGGAGGAGGAGTGCATTTCATTGGTGGAAGAGGCCAGGCCAGAAATCACCAAGGTGGGGAGGACTGGGACTACTGCCAAGAAGAGGAAGTGACAGGTGGTAGTGGTTGGAGACTACCTTCTGTAGGGAATGAAAAGATCCATCTGCCAGCCTGACCTGGGAGGTCTGCTGCTTGCCTGGAACTCAGATCTGAGATGTCATGAAAGGTTTACCAAGATGTATCCAACTCTCTGACTACTACTCCATTCTGTTCATCCATGTGGGCACCAACAATACTGCCAGGGTTGACCCTGAGCAGATCAAGAGTGACTACAGGGCTCCGGGTGCAATGGTGAAGGGAACAGGGGCAGAGGTGGTGTTCTGCTCAATCCTTCTGGTCAAGGAGAAGGGCCCAGGCAGGGGCATATACATCCTGCAGATCAATACATGGCTGCATAGGTAGTGTCGGCAGCTGGGGTTTGGCTTCTTTGATCATGGGATGTTGTTCCAAGGAGAAGGATTGCTAGGAAGAGACAGGATCCACCTGACAAAGAGAGCAAAGAACATCTTCACAAACAAGCTAGCTAAACTACTGACGAGGGCCTTCAATTAGGTGCGCCAGGGCATGGAGACCAAAGCCTTGAGGTTAGTGGGGAAGCGAGTGACCCAGAGGAAGCACAAGGAGGAGGGAGCAATGGGGGAGGCCTCTTCGCTCATCTTAAGAAAGTAGGACAATTGGCTAGTTACCTCAGGTGTCTGTGCATGAATGCGCAGAGTCTGAGAAACAAGCAGGAAGAACTGAAAGTCCTAACTATGACATGATTGGACGAATAGAAACTCAGTTAAATTGCTCACATGACTGGACTATTGTCATGAGTGGGTACAAAATGTTCAGGAAGGACAGGCAGGAGAGAAGAGGATGAGATGTTGCACTGGAAGTAACATTCTGAAATTTTTGTATACATTTTTTGAAGATTTTGTATGATTGCCCAAATCTATGAAGTAGAACTATGAAAATAGGCTTGTTGAAAGTCTCTAGTTAAGGTCAGTGGAGAAAGTAACAAGGGTGATGTCATGGTGGATGTCTGCTATAGATCACCAGACCACATGAATAAAGTAGAGGAGGCTTTCTTTAGACACCTAGCTGAAGTTTCCCAATCACAGGCCTTGGTTTTAATGAGGGACCTTGTGGCAGGACGCCCTTAGGGGTGCCGTGACCTCCCCTAGCACCCTTGCCTACCATGCCAAGTCTGGGTCCTGAACGCACCCTCTGTCTCGCCCGCCACATCTTTGATCTTATAGTATCAAGAGGAAGCTGCCTTCTAGCCCTCCTTGGCATGGGGCCTGCCTTGCTCGCGCTCCTCGCCCGCACTGGGGCCTATGCTCACGCTCCTCGCCCGCACTGGGGCCTATGCTCACGCTCCTCGTAATCAGGGCTCAGGCGGCCTTGGCCTTACCTGGCCCCCAGACCTGCCTCCTCAGGCCTATGCCCCGTTCGGGCTCTTCCCAATAGGGGCTCACGCGGCCTTAGCCTTACCTGGCCCCCAGACCCGCCTTCTCAGGCCTATGCCCCACTGGGCTCGTCCCGATAATCGCCCACACTGGGGCTGGTGTCGGGACACCCCTAAACGCTGCGCCCTCTATGGTGTTTGGAACTCCCCCTTTACTGGGGAGCTCCTAATGAGGCCTCCTCCACCCCTACAGCCTTGCCCGGTCCTCCGGTGTAATCACTACAACCAACCGAAACAGAAAACGCAAA